CACGAAAAAAATATTCACGTCGTAGCACCAGAGGAAGTCCCAAATACTACTGGTGTATGAATCTGGACGCACGATAGGCGAAAGCCTGTTTTCGTCCTAGAAACCTGACCTGACCTGACCTGACCTGACCTAAAGATAAAGATAAAGAATCAAACTTAAGGCATGCTTTGGCACTTCCAGGGAGCGCTTCTTCGAGCACCGCACGGTGTTGTTGTTGCAGCCTGGCGGCATCATCCCTGGCTTTCCTTTAAGTGAAGTATCGCCTGTGCCCTTGATTTGCCTGAAACAGGTACCAGGCTCAATGATTCCTGACCTGGAGTCTAACCAATGCCCCCTAAAACCATGGGGCTCTTTTCTCCTTATTGTATTCCTCAGTGAAGTGAATTCGTTTGTTAACTGCCTTAGGTTGATTTTGACAATGTGCCATAGACCTTCTATTGAGAGATTTACTTTCTCCCAATTCAAAGTCCTAGCGCGCTCCTGGAGAGACTGCAAGTCCAATCTCCTGAAGTTCCTCCGCCACTTGTCAGGCGGCTTTGCAGTATCGAGTGGCACAGCGAAACGCGGGATGCAGTAATCACTCCTCTCTAATGGCTCTACTTTTGGGTCCACGCGGGTTCGAAATTGATGTGGAAAACAGGTTGTCTTGTCATTGATTTGTTTTCTCAGCGTATGGGTTTCTTAGTATTGTTTTCGCCATAGCACTGTATATTTTTTTCTTTGAGCTAAGCTTCTCGTCCCTTATTGTATTTAGAGTATTACAATATTGTATTTATATTTTTCAGACCTTTTTCTCATGAAAGTCCTGGCTTTGTTGTTCCCATACACATACTTTTGCTTGTACTGATTATCAGCTTTTACTCAGCTATTTTCTTCCAACAGTAGACATTCGATTCACCATGACAGTTAATACCGTTGTGGCAAAAACGAGTACGGCAGAGTCATAAGGGTATGACTAAATTCCCATGCGGAAAAGAAACATGTGGGAAACCAGTGATACGTAAGGGCATACAATGTGATACCTATGAACGCAAGTAGCACAAGGATTGTAGTATAATTGGGAACAAGATAGATAAAGTCCACATCAAGTAGGGCCTCATGATATGGTTCTGCTCGGAATGCCAGATTCTGCTACCGCAGGCGGAAGGCATACAACCTGCAACTAATGAAGCAAGCAGTTAAACTGAAACTGCTTCCGAAACACTGATAGACGGTGTGGAAACAATCGAACAAAAAATGTAGACCACAGAGATGTCCATCAAAGAGGTCGATAACTTAATCAGAATTTGTGTTCAAACAGGAGTCAGAAATTCAAAAGTTGTAGGGAGCAGTGGCTAGACTAGAAAAAAACAGTGAAATTGCCTTATGCAGATAACGCAACGTTGTGAGTAAAGGGATAACTGAGTCGTTCAACCGTGAAAATAATCAAACAAAGAGAGAACTCCAGCAGCGAATAATTGATCTCCTGCATCTAGTGGGCATCCCATCACATGCCCTCATCAAGAGGTTCTTGATGCTGAGAAAACAGAACCCTAACCCGAGGGGCAACCAATTTCGCCCCTTGCCGATTGAATTCGGCCACCCACGTCCCAGGGGTATGTTTTCGGCAGCCGCGGGAATAATGAGCAAACAAACGGACGAGCATATCATCATAGAGCCAGACAACCTAGCACAAGCAAAAACCCAGTAACAGGAGTCTGCTCGCCACGAGAACATTTGTACATAAATCGCCACTGTCTCCCACTCAACCACCATAATAATCCTTGGCGTTGCAGTCGAGCCCCGAGCCCAACCAAAAACATCAATCGAGGAATGAACAGTATATGGAGAGAGGATTACATCGTATTCACAATCAAGATAAGTATAAACAGTCGGATACAGTACACCACTCGACGAGACAAAAGCGGGCGCGGCACTCGGGTATAATGCCCGAGTGCATCTGCCCCAGGAAAAGCTCGAACGTGAGATCAGTTTCAATAGGAGGAAGGGGAAATGGATGCGTTGTGTACACCAGTGCGTGAAGTGCAGGAAACAAGTGGCCAGAACGGAGAACAAAAGAGAACCAAACTGATATAATAATTGTAACCGAAATCTGGCTTCGCCAAGAAGTAGTTATAGACCAACCCTGTCCACGGGAATTCTGTGCATACAAAGCTAATATGGAGGATGGGCTGTAGAAAGGATGTTTGCTGATACCCGTGGCCTAAAAGTATCAACAAGAGACAGAGAAGACACTGGTCACGCCGAACCTACAAGTATTCAGCTGCAAACTAGGGATAGGTGATACTTTCCTCCTAGTGCTGGTAGTAAACCGTAGCCTGCAAGCAACACGTCAAGACGACGAAGATCTACAAAACTTACAGTGCAGAGCGCCAACCCGAGAGGACAAAGTACTTTTCGCTGGGGTTTTCAATGACCTGCATACCAACTGGTAGGAAGACAGTGACCTGCAGCGGTCGTTTTGCTGGGCTTCAATGGATATCCTCCACCATAAATCACTAGTAAAGACGTGGACAACAACACTAGATGGTGTACGCAACACAGTTCAGCCCTACTCGATCCAGCGATAACTTACGCTGAAAATCTTATAATAGGAGAGCCACTTAGAAAAAGTGACCATGCTATGATCCACTTGACACTAATCGTACAGTGGCAGTCCCTCTCCCCACATCAAGGTCAGCAGGTTGTATGGCAGAACGAAATTAATTGAGCTACTAGCGAAGGTAGAGAAGATGGTCTGGCAGAGGGATGCAAACCAAGGCATAGTACAGTGGTAGGGACAATTCACAAAAAAACTGACTACACAAACAAACATTCATGCTACCGCTCGTTCAACTAAGGTGTTGGGTAAAACCACCATGGTGGAAATCTAGGGCCAGGAAGGCACAGCCGATGGACAAGAGAACCTGTGGCCGATTTATATCTAGGGCAGGACATCGTAGAAGACTAGAATAAAAAGTGACTCAAAGATGGGCCCAAAAGTAAGAAGAAAAATTACCGAACAGCCTATAAACCAAGACTCTTCATCAATGCAAAGGTTATTTCCAAAAAACGGCTGTCAATACCATTTCTCTTGTTGCATCAAGGCGTTGTTCCCTCCTTTTCCCTTCGCAGCTAAATTCGGTCTAGACTGTTTACTGTCTCCGATACACACCAGTCATTTTCAGACATGCCGACCTGGCCTTTATTTGATCTACTGAAGAGGAAATCTCCTACAGAACTAGAAGTGTTATATTCCGAAAAGGCGGTGCTGGGCGAAGAGAGTTCCTTATTGCGAAATACAGATTGAAGGTCACTAATTTTGCGTGCATAACACGAAAAGCTCATCAGAAACATGCCTTCGCAGCACATCGTGACACATGGGGCAATGGGTAGAGCAGGCAGTGTTTATTCTTTCTAAATATATTACTTGGCCCTTGATGGTCTTGTTCTATTTTTATTCATCGTAAGTTACCGACTACTCACAAGTGAGTAGTATCTCACAGCACTCCTCCCCCTGATGGAAAGGATCTCTGCATGACTTGATCAATTGACGACTGCCTATTGCATTGTGCTTGCGTTTGTCTCTGATTTTCGACGTTCGGCAGCGTCCTGTCTGATGTTGAGCTATTGGATTCTGGGATTTCTTTCGTTGGTTTATTGCGTGTGATGTACGTTTGGTCGTGCCATGTTGCGAGATCGTTCCGATGTACACGACGGACTTCGTTCATCCGTTGAATTTTGTACACGGGATGGCGTTCTTCAACTATGCGGTATGAACCTCTCTATTTGGGAATTAACTTCCTCGAGCCAGGGCCGCTCGCGAATTCCCCCACATGCTGCTTATATTTTACTTTAGATCCAACCGGAAGCACACTGGCCGTCCGTCTAGTTTGTATCCCTGACCTGCGCATTAGATCCTCCTGCGCCGTCTTCAGGTTATGCCGAGCTTTGCGTCTTGTCTGTTGAAGTGGTTGCGGAGATAAATCGTTTCGCGGCCAAATGCCAACGTCGAGATCCACTGGCAGCTTCGGAATTCTTCTGTACATCAGTTGAAATGATGTGCGTTTGGTGCTGGCGTGCGTGGTTGAGCGGTAAGCCAGAAGTAGTGAAGGTAGGGCCGACTTCCAATCCCCTCCTTTCACTGACAGTCGTTCTTTGATTGTTCTGTTATTGTGTTCTGTGAGACCGTTAGTTTGTGGGTGATAGGGCGTTGTGCGTTTCTTTTTGATGCCTAATTTATGTAAGCACGTGTGAAATTCATCACTCTCAAAGCACGGGCCTTGATTTGTCAGGATAGCTTGTGGTACACCATGATTTGCCACCACATGCTCCATCACAACTCTGCTTATCATAGCGGCTTTTTGATCCGCGACTCCTACGGCTTCAATCCAGCGCGTGAAGTTTTCCGTCATTGCAACGATGTATTTGTGTCCTCTTGGGGACATCTGAAATGGACCCATGAGGTTGATGGACCATAATTCACCGATCTCGGATACTGGTATTGACTGAATTGGACATTGTGATGGGCGGGAGTCTGACTTGAACAGTTGGCACTTCTCACACGCCAGCACCTGGTTTATCACATCTGCCTGCATATTTGGTCAATATGCTCGCTGTTGAAGCAGATCGTAGGTTCGTGCGCATCCAGTGTGTGCTAGTTCATGACTTTCTTTGATAAGAATTTGGCGCACCTGTTTCGGAATGACGACCACAGGGCACCTTCTTCCTGGCTGTCGTTTTATAAAGATACCGGCGGCATTCAAATAAAGCTGGTTCCATACGGATTGCCATGACTTCATGTGTACTATGTGGAATGTTTCGGCATTGCTTGCCCTGTGAGATTGCCTCGATCACTTTGCGAAGTTCTTGATCCTTGCGTTGTTCCTTCACCAATTCTCGCGGGTCTTGTTCCGCTGCCAGCATACTGACAGTGAAGGAATCTGCTTCATCCTGACGAGACAAAACATCCGCCATACAGTTTTCGGCACCTGCAACATGATTGATCGTGAAGTCGTACTCCTGAAGGCGAAGCGCCCATCGGGCAAGTTTTCCTCTCGGGTCCTTGGCGGTTTTAATCCACTCCAGCGGCTTGTGATCTGTTTCCAAATGGAACCTCTGACCCAGAAGGTATGGCCGCCACTTGTCTACGGCCCAAACGATAGCAAGGCATTCTTTTTCCGTGGTGGAATATTTCCTTTCCGTTGGAGTCAGGACTCTGCTTGCGTATTCTACCACTCCACTTGCTTGTTTGAGTACGGCTCCCACTCCCACATCACTGGCATCCGTTACCACAGTGAAGTGCTCGCCAATTACCGGCAACTTCAATGTCAGGTGTTGTTCGGTCATGACCCTTTGGAGTTCATCGAAGGCTTTCTGGGCTTCTGGTGTCCAGCTGAAGCGAGATTCCTTTTTGAGTAAGGTGTACAACGGTTCGGCGATGTTCGTAAAGTTTTTAACGAACCGGCTATAGTATGCCGCACAGCCCAGAAACCGTCTTAATGTTCTTTTCGATGTTGGGCGTGCAAACTCCTTTAGCTTGAGGATTTTCTCAGGGAGTGGTTTCACTTCTCCGTTCCCAACCTTGTGTCCGAGTAAAGTCACTGTCGGCTTCCCAATTTGGGACTTCGATGCATTGATCCGGAGGCCAGATTTTTGGATTCTTTTCAGAACATTTTCCAAGTGAAATGTGTGTTCGGTTGTTGTTTGACTGTAGACAACAATATCATCGCCATAGACCACCACGTTGGGGACACCTTCGAGTAACTTCAACATGAGGAGGCGGAATGTAAATGGTGCTCCTGATAATCCGAATGGCATTCGTTTGAACTGATATTGTTTATTTCCGACTGTGAACGCCGTTTTCTCTCGATCAGCTTCTTTTATTGGTACTTGCCAATATCCCGATCGTAAATCCACCACTGAGAACACTTTTGCGCTTTGCAGTTGGTCAAAAATCTCTGCCACGGTCGGGACTGGGACTGGCTTGTTTATAGTCACAGTGTTTACTTGGCGGAAATCCACACAGAACCGAAATTTACCATTGGGCTTTTTCACCAGTAGCACGGGCGAGTTATACGGACTTCGAGTTTCTTCGATGATTCCTTCCTTTAACATTTGTTCGACCTGTCGCTTGACTTCATCCATCAGGTGTAGTGGAATTCGACGTGAAACATGGGCTCGAAATTTCCCTGCCTTCATTGGAATTTCGTGTTCGACCCAGTTACAGAACCCGTAGGGGTCATCATCGCCTGTGAACAGGTGGGAGTATCGTTGCACCACTGGCCGAAATGAAGGAGATACATTCGTGTGAGTTGTTTCTGTACTNGCCAACCTCTTCCCTTTGGAGCGTAACAGCGGGATCGTGCCGAATTTTGTAACAAGCTGTTCGTTGTTCAGATCAACCACGGCCCTTAAGCTGCGTAAGATGTCTGCCCCCACTATAGTCTGGCTCGTGTCTTTTGTTATGACGAATGGGTGCTTGATTATACTATTTCCAACGCGGACCGTCCGTTTGGCTACTCCGTCTACCTTCAACTGGTAATCCCCGACTGTTTTCACAGCTGTATTCCACGTTTCCAGGGGCTCGTTTGGTTGGGGTCTAGCCAAAGACACCGCCGCACCTGTATCGATCAAGCATAGTTCTCTGTGCCCCTCGATCTCCAAATTGGCCTGTACTGCCCCACGATCTACTGCTCCAATGATTGCTTTGTTCGAGAGAAGACGCGTGTACGGAATCAATCGTGTATTTGAAGAGAATTTTTTATATCTCTCAGGGCAATTTCGCCGCCAATGACCTCGCCTGCCACAATGAAAACATGCATTTGTGTTTTTCTTCCGTCCGAAATTTGATTTGAGTGCCGCCACTTCATCCGTCAGTCTGTCGACTGTGGCTTTCACGTCTTCCGGTGGCTTGTCCTTATGGACTTCCTGTGTTCGCACCGCCGCAATTTCCTGATCGATGAACTGCCTCACAACTTCGGCTAGGGTCATTACGCCCATGGTACGTGCCACATTGATGAGTTTCGCTTTCTCGCGTATGTCTTCCGGGAGGCTCTCCGTGAAACGGTCAAGGAGAAGTTCCGAGCGAGCATTCTCATCCAATGTCGGTAGTGCGCGATCCAATAGCCCACGCAGGGCCACGGCATGCGAAAGTGGGTCCACACCGACTCCGAGCTGCGCCGTCTTGAAGCGACGGAGTGCCTCCTGGCGGTCGGCCGGGGTGTCAAAGCCTGCGATCAGGGCGTCCTTCGCGGCGGCCCACTCCATTTTCTCCGGGCCTCTTCGTGCCGCGTCCAACACCGCCCGCGCACGACCCTTGAGGAGCGCTCGGAGGGCCGTCAACTTGCCGCGATCCGTCCGTATTCCGGCCAACTCCGCCACATCCTCGAACTCCTCCAGGAACATCCGCACATCCCCATCCTCGAAGGCTGCTGGCCACGGAACCTTCATCCTGATCCTGGCGACGGCACCAATTGTTATATTCCGAAAAGGCGGTGCTGGTCGAGGAGAGTTCTTTATTGCAGAATACAGATGGAGGGTCACTAATTTTGGATGCATAACACGAAAAGCTTATCAGAAACGTGCCTTCGCAGCACATCGCGACACATGGGGCAATGGGTATAGCAGGCAGTGTTTTTTCTTCCCAAATATATTACTTGGTCCTGGATGGTCTTGTTCTATTTTTAATCATTGAAAGTTACCGACTACTCACAAGTGAGTAGTATCTCACAACAATAGGAGTAGAAAAGAGAAAATACGAACTAAAGGTAGCTGAAAGTATCAAGCAGAAACCGAAAAGGGTTTTCAGGTACGTCCCATCGGAACCCAACTTGAGAGATTCCAAGGTGCCTTGGTTCTGGAAAACAACACGATTGCGGCAGACGACCACAGCAAGGCAGTAGCACCGGGCAACTTTTTCGCTAGTGTTCATAAGTTAGATAACAGGACACTAGAACCAAGATCCCAAAACTCTCCTCCATCGAGCATAAGGAAGATGCAGATATCTGCAGTGGAGGTGCAAAAGGTGCTAGAGGATTTGGACATCAACAGGGCCCCGGGTTTCGATGGCATATATCCTGCCATTGTGAAACCACTTGCTCAAATCTGAGCAGACCCCTTAAGGGTGTTGTTTCAAAAATCTTTAGAGGAGGGGGTGCTTCCGGGCGACTGAAAAACTGCCGTTGTGGTGGCGTTACACAAAGGTGGTAGTAGATCTAACCCGCAGCACTACAGACCGGTTAGTTCAACTAGTATTCTATCCAAGTGCATGGAAAAGCTAATCAGGACGCATGTTTGTATCCACATTGTAGAGTATGCATTGCTTAGCATGACCCAGCATTGCTTTATGAAAAACCGGTCGTGCCTGACAAACCCCTTACGCTACCTAGACGAAGTCACAGAGAGGGTAGACGAAGGCAAAACAGTAGAACTATGTTACCTAGATTTCAGTAAGGCGTTCGATTCCGTAAGTCGCAGACTGCTTCTACATAGGCTAAGTTTTTTCGGAATCACAGGAACAATATTTAACTGGATTGCAGCATTCTTGACTAATAGGACATTCTTGGTTAGGGTAGGAGAACAAACTTACCAAATCCTTAATGTCACAAGTGGCGTGCCACAAGGGTCGGTGTTAGGCCCACTTCTATTTCTGTTGTTCATAAATGATCTAGCAGAAAGTACCAGCTCACCTTGCTTCATTTTCGCTGATGATATAAAGGTGGTTGGATCTAGTGGAAGAGCCGACTTAGAAGAGGATATGGCAAAGGTGATCAAGTGGTCCCACACATGGGATCTGCCACTAAATGCAACAAATAGTCGGTTGCCCTCTAGAACCGGGGAACCATTGAAGGCTCTCGGTGACGGAGCAATTTGAAGTAGGCGCTGTGACCAGTGCCAGGGATCTGGGAGTCATCGTAACTGCAGATTACAGTTGGAGTATCCAATGTGAAGCTGCAGCACACATGGCAAGACGACAGCTGTTTCGACTAAGGTCAGCAGTTTCATATAGGAAAGCAGATGTATTTATACCCATCTACAAAGCCAGCGTAAGGCCTCCCCTAGAATATTGTGCTCAGGCTTGGTCGCCCTTCTACATAAAGGACGTAGCCTGTCTGGAGAAGCCCCAGAGACTAGCAACACGGATGGTTGAAGGCATGCGGGATAAAACATACAAAAAGGTTGTACACGTTCGGTCTTTTTTTGCTAAAAAAAGGAGATTGCGCGGAGACCTCATCGAAGTATTTAAGATTAAGAAACATTTGCTGGNTTGCTGGGTTTAGATCCGGGGTCCTTCTTCACTGAGGCTCCCCACCAAGGAACGCGTGGACATGAACTCAAACTTATGAAACAGCGTTCTAGGCAGAACTTACGAGCACATTCTCTGGGCAATAGGGCAGTTGAAAATTGGAATAAGCTACCGTCGGAACTGATTATGCTGCCAAACTCCCAAGCCTTTAAAAGGGCCCTGGATGCCAGATGGTTGGAGGTCTTCACTGACATAAAATGTTAGATGCATTAATTATTTTTATGTAATATGGAACGCTTTCACAATAAAAGTCTCTCTCCGACACGGCGAGAAGTATAGTCTCTCTTTCTCTCTGTTTGCAGACAGAAAGAGAAACCGATCAATCGCACACTCGTGAGCACACTACCGAAGGAATTCTGGGTGCTTAATTGGCCGGTGACCACTACCAGTCCTGTGCAATGTGATCTGACCTGCTGCCCTCGCACAACAATTTTTTTATATTTGGCTTATACCGATGTTATTTATTCCAATTTATTTTTAACGCTTTTGCTATATTTACTACTTTTTTCCGTTAAACCAGTTTTTGCTTACGAATTCCTAAGTATTCCGATATTTGCACTTCGTAGATACCTATAGAGGTAGACATTTATTTTACTCATTCTTTTATACTGCACCAGTACCCCGAGGTCCACTGTTATTCGGGCATCTCCCTCTCATTCTGATTATTTATTTCTAGTTTCTTCCATAGAATTCACACCTGTGTCATAATGCTCAACCAACACCCTTCCCTGATAACGCCGAACTATTGGTCTGTGTTAAGGCGTTAGTTGCAAAGGTACAGGCGTTGACATTGTCTCGCAACCGGCCACGACAACATCATCGCACACGCTCCAGTCACCGGAGCGGTAGCCCCAGGCGTCCACGCTCTTGCTCACCATCGATTGGAGTTTGCTGGTATCACCGGCGTTACGGTGACGCCGCAAAAAGGTGCGTTACACCTTGCACCTACACCCCTAGGTCGGGAAACCGATAAGCCGACCGGCCCAGGCGACAACCGCGTCCGGCTCGCCACAAACACGTCGTCTACTCTTCGTTACCGACGGACATACCGGGATGCGCGTCCTGGTCGACACAGGCGCACAGGTCAGCGTCATACGACTTCGTGCAGCTGATTTCCATCGTCTCTCTTTAGTGGAACTGATCCCCGCGAACCGCACACCCATTAAAACCTACGGCGAGCGTTCACTCACGCTGAACCTCGGTATTCACCGTAGCTCACTCTGGGTATTCATTATCGCCGACCTTCCGCAGTCCATTATCGGCATCGACTTCCTCCGGCACTTTAACGTTATGGTTGACCCCGTTGGCCATAAGCTCATCGACCGTCTCACCACGAGTGAGACCATCGGAACGCCCACGACCACTCCTTCCGTCAGCCCATTTTTGTTCATACCCGATGTAGAAACCACAGAGTGAAGAAAATCCCTCTTCTTGGTCCANCCGAGACGAGACCACTGTTGTTCCCCTCCCAATGACTCCTTTCCGATCCTGTGTGCACACATTCTCTTTAGCCACTCTTGATTTGACCTCGATCACCGCGTGATCCCTCGTATTAGTGATTGTCTATGGTTATTTGATGACGGATTCTCGTGTCCAATGACCTTGTGTGTCTGCCTATCGATCCCACCCGTGTCATTGTACTCTGCACTAACGTGGCTTTGGTGTGTTATTGCCCCGGTCCATAACCACCCCAGTCCCTATATGACCCATCACTGGCCCTATGGCCTCATTCGTTGTCTTGCTCTTTGCGAGTGCATACCTGACTTCGATCACTGGCTGCTCACTTTTGGTGAACAGAATCCCCTGCTTGATCTAACAGGTATTTATGTTCCCTCTTTGTTTATTTATTTTCTTGTCTTTTTATCAGATCTCTACCCATTTGTTTGAACTCACCTTTTTGGCTGTATAGCGACTGAGTCGCATCGATGAGGTACGTTGTTCTTTGACTCGCCTACTGAAATAAACAGTACCATACGCATTGCGGATCAATATCGATCTGACTTCGGGGTTCGCATTTCGCTACGCGTTGCTCAGCGGTCTCAGTGACGCTATACAGAACGACCGTAGAATAGTCGATTACACTCGGGCTACGGTCGATCCAGAACGAGTCGTTTTGAAAATTACACCCAACGCCACAGACAGGTTCCGAGCGGTTCTCTCCGAGCTCCCGGAGTTGTGCAAACCGCCGCACACTACCACAGACGACCACAGGCATCGTCCATCATATAGTCACTCGCGGTCCACCGACACACTGCCGCCCTAGACGGCTCGCCCCTGACAAGCTCCAAATGGTCCGCGCTGAATTTCAGCACATGCTCGACTTCGGAATTGTCCGATCATCCTCCAGCCCTTGGGCTTCACCATTACATTTGGTCCCCAAGAAGTCCCATAGCGACTAGCGGTCGTGTAGCAACTACCGCGCCTTAAACAACGTCACCATACCGGATCGCTATCCCATCCCTTACATCCAAGATCTAACAGCTAGTTTACGGGGATGTGAGGTAGTTAGCAAAATCGACTTAGTACGCGCGTACCATCAAATTCTAGTACACCCGGAAGATGTCCCCAAGACCGTGGTGACCACACCATTCGGTCTGTTTGAGTTCCTGCGTTTGCCCTTCGGTCTGCGCAACGCCGCTCAAACTTTAAAACGCTTCATAGATCAAGTTTGTCAAGGTTAAGATAACACATTCGCCTACCTAGACGACTTCCTAGTAGTCAGCGCCACCCGGGAAGAGCATGAGCAGCAACTACGCGCTCTTTTCACACGTCTTCGCTAACCTGGCATAACAATCAATGCTGCCAAGTGCTATTTCGGCGAACCTAACATTACCTTCTTAGGTCATCGCGTCTCTGAATCTGGCGCCGCGCCTTGATAGGATAAGGTGCTAGCCATTTTGGAGTATCCGGAGCCTACGTCGCTAAAGCAGCTTCGATGGTTCCTTGGGCTAATTAACTTCTATCAGCGTTTCATCCCAAAGTGCGCCACCCTTATGCAACCGCTGAATTACCTCTTGCGCAGCAATACTAAACAGTTCACGTTCATTGACCGCGCGCGTACGACGTTTAACAGCCTGAAAAAGCCATCTCCAACATGGCCTCTGTCTCACAATACGTTTCCGGCGCCCCTCTGTCTCTAACGACA